TTCAGTCAGCCGGTTATATCACCGGGAGATACGGGTCCATGTGGCTTGGAGAGGTCGATGTGCACGGTGTAGGGTCTCTACTGTAGTCCATGACTCTTCTGTCTGGCGTTATTAAAGCGACATTACACCTCTAGAATCTCTGCTAAATAACGCACATATATCCTTTAGTTCGGTGTTTATTCTGCAGACAGCGTGAAAGCAGAATATAACAAGCCAGTGAAAATCTATTTTTTAAAAATGCTGGAAAACAAGTAGAAAAGACCTCGAAAGAAAGATGGCCTTATACCCGATCTTATCCTTGAACTTATAAATATCAAACACGGCTCAACTAATAATACTCCAGAAGGATTCCGATGCAGACCTTTTCACTTGCCAAGAGAATTCACCGCAGCAGTATGTTCACATACTGCATGACAACAACCAGACATGGAGCTCCACACCTTCACGGTACTGTCTTACATTAACTTCTGCATGGACAATGCGACCACGAAGAAGCAGGTCAAAGTATCCCTAAAAGCCCTGGTTCAACAACAGCGTGCGAGGAGGGACAGGGGACAGGACAGATGGAGGGACAGGGGACAGGACAGATGGAGGGACAGGGGACAGGACAGATGGAGGGACAGGGGAGCATACAGCAGACTCAAACAGGGGCATCAAAAGTGCTAAGTTACAATACAAACAGCAGAGTGAGGGCCAGGTCAAAGACAGTAACCCCCACTCCACGTGGAAAGGCATCAGGAACCCCACCACCGACACCTCCCCCCAGACCAGCTCAACTCATTCTTTGAGTTGAGGACAACTCTAACAAAGGAACCCCCTCCCCCCCCCCATCCAGTCACTGTAAAAATATTAACTGTATATATTCTTTCAGTCACCACAACTGTCTATTTATTTATTTATTATCATTCATTCACTGAACAGAAATTGCTCTGGCCACTTTTTGCATATTTCTCTTTCATATCACCACAAATATATTTTCGTTGTTTTTGTAAATAAAGATTCTGTCTATGATAAAATAATAACTTAACATACATCTTTATTCAGTTTCTCAGTTACTAACGCGATTATACCAAGACTATGATAAGATCAGTGATTCGAGTCCGCGTTATTATAAGAGTTTTAAAGGGAGAGCACATCCTTTAAAGTATATTTAAACAAGATCATCATGTCGTTTGTGTATTTTGTGCAACCACTGTGTGAAAATACAAACCAAGCAATGTGAAATAGAAATGTAAACAACGCCTTGATGACTCGTTATGGGCTGTGAAGCAAGTTGGAAAACACTGTAATGATGTAATAATGGCGACTATAGGACCGGCTCTGTAGAGGACCGGCTCTGTAGAGGAGGTCCGGCTCTGTACCGGACCGGCTCTGTAGAGGAGGACCGGCTCTGTAGAGGAGGACCGGCTCTGTAGAGGTCCGGCTCTGTACCGGACCGGCTCTGTAGAGGAGGACCGGCTCTGTACCGGCTCTGTAGAGGACTCTAGAGGTGTTGTAACCCTGCACCGTGCAGAGCTGTGATTTCTCATCTTCACTCTCTGAGTCAGCACGTGCTCGGAAGGCTGCAGGAAACGGACGGCTGAATTGTTTCCACTGTGACGTCACTGCAGACGAACCCAGTCACCCCCCCCCCCCCCCCCCCCCCCCCCCCCCACTGTAACTGCAGCTCCACTCTATTATTATTCAAGTCGTGTCTCGTGTGACGATTCACACGATTGAAGACAGAACCTCAGGAGGGAAAAGAAAATCCTGCTTTTGTTTGAGCCTGCAGGTCAGAGAAAGAGAGGGGGGAGAGAGAGACAGAGAGAGAGAGAGAGAGAGAGAGACAGAGAGAGAGAGAGAGAGAGAGAGAGAGACAGAGAGAGAGAAGAGAGGGAGAGAGAGAGAGAGACAGAGAAGAGAGAGAGAGGGAGAGAGAGAGACAGAGACAGAGAAGAGAGGGAGAGAAGAGAGAGAGACAGAGAGAGAGACAGAGAAGAGAAGAGAGAGAGACAGAGAAGAGAAGAGAGGGAGAGAAGAGAGAGAGACAGAGAAGAGAAGAGAGGGAGAGAAGAGAGAGAGACAGAGAGAGGGAGAGAGAGAGAGAGAGCTTTGTGTTTGAGAATCTCATTCAGCAAATCAGAGTAGAGCTGGAGGACTAAATTAAAGGAACAGTAACCACAGGAAGAACTTAAAGACAGACTGTTAGGTCTACAAAGTCTCTCTCTCTCTCTCTCTCTCTCTCTCTCTCTCTCTCTCTCTCTCTCTCTCTCTCTCTCTGTCTCTCTGTCTCTCTCACTGGTCCAGACTTTAAGCACTGGGGGCAGCTAAATATCTTAGTCTGGATTTCTGTGATCCAATTATCGTTATTTCAATATAAAAATATGGCACTCTAAACCGATTTACCTGCTGATTTGATCGGCCCCAATACTTAATGGCATCTCACGGTGTCACCCAAACATGAATGAGGGAAACGTGAGTGGAAGTTAATAAGCCAAAGAAGAAATTGGCGGTGGGATTAGAGTAGAAGAAGACAACAGGGTCAAGTGGTACAGCCCGACTTTGAAACAAACTGAGAGAAACTAAAGGAAACGATTTGTTGAGGAGGCGTCTTCCCGTGGCCTGATGTGGTTTTTTAATTTATTATTTTATTTAACCAGCTTGGTCCCATTGACATTAAAAACCTCTTTTTAAAGGGAGACCGGGCCAAGACAGGCAGCAGCAAAAACACAAAGTTACAGACGGAACTACAAAGAGAGACAAAGTATAATTTACAAAACACAACATTTTGGATTAAAACAGAACAATCGATGAGTCATATCTGAGAATCAGTCGTTCAAACAGCCGAGCTAAAACATCCACATCTTCCATCTGCTTCCATGTCTTTCATTTTTGGCAGTGGTGAAAACAGAAAGAGTGGCCTTAACTCGAGTCGAGTCTGAAACTGTAACTTTACTTAAAGTCTTTATATGTGATGTTTTGATCCAGCAGATGTCGCCCTTGAGCACCAGCATGAAACCAAAACAACTTGCGCTGCATTGTTGTGTTAGCATGCTAATGCTAGCGATCTTTATTATGCTGGTATCTTCACACTGCATGTAAATTGACCTGAAATGAGCGTGATCTAGAAACACAGTTAAGCAGTGAGTACAGTATGTTATTCTTCTTTTCTCTAGTCCCTCAATTAAACAACTTTTATACACGAGGGGAGGAGTCAGCCGGCCGTCCTGGCGATGTAAACAAAGTGAAGATAGGACTCTGAAAACTCTGAAAACATCACAGACAGTGGGACTCGGGTGTTACACCCATTGTAGACAGTCATGACTCACAGAGTTATTTTCAGAGGATAAACTTGATTTATATATTTAAGTGTGAAAAATCACATAGTAAGACTTGAAGTGAATATAAAGTCATCTTGCCGTCTTTGCATCCTCAAGTTTAAACAAAGAGTCTCAATAAAACAACATAAAGAATCCCTTAAATCAAACCGCTGATCTTACAGAGTTAACTCTGAGGAGCAGCTCGAATGTGTTTTGAACAGTTGCATTGAGTCGAGGGTTATTCCTGTCCTCCTGACTCCGAATGGAAATGAACCGCGCTGGTTCTTCTGGATCAGCAGAGTAACACGACACTCACATGGCCAGATGGACCCCCCCCCCCCCCCCGATAAGGGCGATCAAATCACTTGTTTACCTCTCAGTGCACGTCCTGAACCAAGCGAGGAGTTTTCATCTAAGAGTGAGCAGCAGTGACTGAAACCGGAGCTGACGGGGACAAGTGGAAAGTGCTCCGTCACAAATGTTCCAGATGACTCAGCAAGCGAGACGGAGACATGTTTAGTCACGCTGTGGAGGTGTGGAGAGAAAACTATGTTCAGTTATGAAACGCCCATGAAATGTCCTCTCACCCCCGTGGACCCCGACCAGCTGAGTATTTTTCAGGGAGGAGATAAAGCCTCTTTTTATTCTCCTGTCTTGATGTCGTCTTCTCCTCGTCTTTGTCTCCCTCAGACTACAGCGTCCACGACTTCGGCGACCTCAACTTCCACTACCCGGAGAGCGACGAGTCCTACAACAACATCCAGTCGCCTCGCACTGTGGGAGCGGCCAATAAGAAGCTGTCTGGAGCCGTGAGCAGAGCCGTGGGTGCAGGACACACACTGGTCATGCTGGGAGGTGATCACAGGTGAGACACACACACACCTGCTCTGACATCATCATGCAGCACGGCGTGTCAGAATGTAACCGCTATAAACACCTGATGTTTATATAAGACTATCCCCCTCCTCCAATCACAGCCTGGCTATCGGATCAGTGGGAGGCCACGCCCAGCAGTGTCCTGACCTGTGTCTCATCTGGGTCGACGCCCACCCAGACGTCAACACGCCCATGACCTCTCCATCGGGAAACCTTCACGGCCAGTCGGTGGCGTTCATGCTCAAAGAGCTGCAGGACAAGGTGAGGTCGTTATAAATACAGAAACAGAATCTGGATCCATTTCAGGGACTTTGTAGCAAGGACACGAGGGCGAGTCTGCAGAGAACATTTGTTTATCTAATCGTAGTGAAGGAACCGCAGAGCTAAAGGGGGGCGTCAGGTCATTAAGTATCCGATAAAATAATCAGATATGAAGGTTTCGATGAAGATGCAGGGTGACGGACATCAGTGTCCATGTTAAAAATAAAGTTATAAGCAGATTTAAATTAATAGATTCATAGATTCATACAAAAGGAATGAATCAATGTCGGACCAATAGGAGTCAGTGCTTTCAAGTTTCAAATCGATTAAATATTTGGTGTCACGTTTGGAACTTTTTAAAGTTGTTTTAAGTCTCTTTGTCGTCATCTTTTTGACCGGTTGATGTTTCCAGTCTCTAGATGTTTTCACTCGGTCTCTGTGAAGACTTTGAGTCTGTTGGTTTTGAATCTAGTTTTTCTCTTTCCAGCCACTTTGAGTCCGTTTATAAGTCGCTCTCTGGCGATTGAGTCATTTTTTTCACGTCTCTCTGCCATCCTTTTTAACCTTGAGAAAAACTTCACCAATTGACAAGGTGCATGAAGAGTGAAAGGTCAAAATGCTCCAGCAACACTATGAAGATCAACTTTATTAACAATTTAGACCGACGCGTTTCGGCTTGTGGCGTTCATCAGGGTCATCAAGAAACAGATTAACAAACAGCATTTAAATAGAGTAGGTACACAATTGAAGGAAAGGTTAAAAAAATCAAAATAAAATAAAAAGGGATTGATTGGTTGTCCCTACCTTTTGGGATTTTTTTGATTTTTTTTTCTTTTACCTTAACTCTCAACGTGCTGCTGTTGTTCCAAAAACATGCATCGTAATTTGAGCATCGACTTAGATAAGATACGATACACTTTACTGTCCCCAAAGGGAAATGTGTGTTTGACTCTTTCCTGCAGATAGAAGAGAATAAAACACCTTTGTGCAGCGGTGACATAATGCACGACCAACAACACAAACTGACTCAGTGATGTCATTCAAATGTTACTGTAGCTTTAATTTCTAAGCAGCTGAACAATAACCTTCTTTTGTTCTGAATGTTACATGAACATGTTCATATATTTATTTAATTACCCGTGTCTGTGTGCTTCAGATTCCAGACCTCCCCGGGTTCTCCTGGACGAAGCCCTTCCTGTCATCGAGGGACCTGGTGTACATCGGCCTGCGGGACGTCGACCCCGGGGAGCAGTACGTTCAAACCCTCTGTTTTTTTTTTTAAAAGGCTTTATATTTTTCTCACTTAAATATAATATAAATCAAGTATCTCCTCTGTAAATAACTCTGTGAGTCATGACTGTCTACAATGGGTGTAACACCCGAGTCCCACTGTCTGTGATGTTTTCACAGTTTTCAGAGTCCTATCTTCACTTTGTTTACATCGCCCAGACGGCCGGCTGACTCCTCCCCTCGTGTATAAAAGTTGTTTAATTGAGGGACTAGAGAAAAGAAGAATAACATACTGTACTCACTGCTTAACTGTGTTTCTAGATCACGCTCATTTCAGGTAAATTTACATGCAGTGTGAAGATACCAGCATAATAAAGATCGCTAGCATTAGCATGCTAACACAACAATGCAGCGTGAGTTGTTTTGGTTTCATGCTGGTGCTCAAGGGCGACATCTGCTGGATCAAAAGAGCACATATAAAGCCTTTAAA